ACACCTGCCTCGGCTGGCTCCCTGTGGCGGGTGCCTGTGACATGAGGAGCACAGAGGGGGGTGCTGGCCGGATCTGGAACCAGTGAGGGGACACGAGGAGAAGGAGAGGGAGACTGAGGAACAAGGGGAGGGAGAAAAGGGAGTAAAGGGAAGGAAAGGTGGAGGAGGAACAGAAGAGTGAAGATTATGCTTCTCATCTGAGGCGGGTGGCCTTGGAGTGGTGCAGTCAAGAATGAGTCTCCAACATGATCAACACTTAGAAAGCTTGTCACCGCGTCAATAAATCCCTCTCATGTAGTGGCATGAAGACAGTAGTGCTCTTTGGGGACGTTAGGGGCCATCCTGCGTGAAAATGGCAAGTGGCGCTGTAAGGAGCAGCCAACCAGTTATGAACAAGAGGGGCTCATATTCACGAGCGTGCCTGCCACCTCCGCCCTGAAGCACGACTTCCCTGTCTCGTGCGGAGTGGGGACCCATCGAACCAGAACCCCACCCGGCCTCTCCCCATCTCCTCAGATGGCAAGCTCTGGCATCCTTGGTCCACCCAACTCAGCCCCAAAACATTTTGCCAAAACATCAGTAAACAAGTATAGGTGAAGGGGCACAGACCTCTGCCTTCTGTACCATTTTCTCCTTCCCAGAGCTCAGCACATGACGAGCCAGGGGTTTCTCATTACGGGCTGAGTCGTGTTTCCTCAAAGAGTAGTCAGAAGGCCCCCGAACACCTTCCTCTGAACTCACAGTAGGCGTATTTTGTTTTTACTTTCTATACGATGGACCAGGAAATCCAAGACCTTACCTGAACACGGGGGAAAATGTGTCCCTCCCTCCAGCACATCCAGAAATCTCTCAGCCAATGCAAACTTGGCCACAGCCGCTGGCCACCTTTCTTGCGAAGGTTGAATCAGAGATGAATGTTATTAACTACAACATCTCATGTTTGTTTGGGGCTTTATACCACACGAAGCAAACAATTGTCATATTTAATTCCCACAGTAATTCTGCATTACTGTATTTCCCGTTATAGACATTGAGTTTCAGAGAAATACAGCATCTTCCTCAGTGTCAACCGGTAAACCTGGGACTCACTCACGTCCTCTGACTCCCAGCCCTCTCTGCTTTCTATGCAAGGTCATTGGCCTCCTGTCGATTTCAGAGTTGGGATTCCTGGGTCTCCTTCTTTATCCCATCTCTGCACCCCAAGTGACCTTAGACCTCAGCCTCCCTCCCACCTATTCCCATCTCACCCCAACTTGTAAGGTTAAGGGGGAAAGAATCGCCTGGCCCGTGTGGCTCAGTAGTTGAGTGTCGACCTGTGAACCAGGAGGTCACAGTTCGAGTCCCAGTCAGGGCACATGCCTGGGTGGCGGGCTTGATCCCCAGTGTGGGGTGTACAGGAGGCAGCTGATCAATGATTCTCATCATTGATGTTTCCGTCTCTCCCTCTCTCTTCCTCTCTGAAATCAATAAAAATATATGTTTTTTAAAGAGGGAGAAGACTCCATTTCTCAGTGAAGACTACACATAATGCAAGTGATTCTCACGTTTATTCTGCCAAGGACTCTTTCAAAGTCACCAAGGTTTCTTTTCATTACAAAAGCAATGCGGGGGGGGGGGGAATGTAGAAAAAAAAGTACAAAATATAGACAAAAAAACAGATGAAAATAAAAATCATAATTCTGCCATTGAGGAATAACTTAGTATTCTGAGCATTGTGGAATTTAGTCTTCTTTAACTTTTATGATGTACACATGGGCTTGTGTTTACAAACATGGAAAATGTGCCTACTCATAACAATGTTTGGGACCTGCTTTTGAACTTAATGTATTGTAAACATTTTCCTGTTAGTAAATATTTTTATTACAACATATTTAATGGCTACATAATATTTCCTTATTCTAGAGTTAAACATTTTGATTTTTCCTATTTTTTCATTATCATAACGTTTTATGATAGATTTATATATCTTATTTTAAGATATAGAATGAAGTTGAATTTTTTTTCATATGACTTTGATCATGTTGAATTTCTTTTATAAATAGGTTCTCCACACTATTTGTCAGGGTGGTTTTTAAAAAATATATATATTTTTATTGATTTCAGAGAGGAAGGGAGAGGGAGAGAGAAACATCAATGATGAGAGAGAATCATTGATCAGTTGCCCCCTGCACACCCCCTACTGGGGATTGAGCCCACAACCCGGGCATGTGCCCTTGACCGGAATCGAACCCAGGACCCTTCAGGCCGCTGCTCTCTCCACTGAGCCAAACCAGCTAGGGCTATTTGTCAGTTTTTAATGGTATATTTTATTCTTATTGATATGTGAGAACTCTTTATATTAAGGCTAAAAATTTACCTGCCAAAAACTCATTTGGACATCACATTTTAATGCACCACGTTGAATTTGGATACATATTGATTCTCCCCGACTCTCCCACCGAGATCACGAGACCACGAATGCTTTGCTCTTTTCCCTCTTCTTGCACTTTAACAAATTCCCCCCAAACAAAGCAGACTCAGGAGAGGGCTCTGCCTCAGGGCTCACCCTCAGAGCTCCTGGGCCTCCTAAGGGCAGCTCCCGTCCCTTCGGTCCTGACCTCCAGGACCTCTTCTCCTCCCCTTACACGTGAGGCTGCCAGGGCGGGGCTGGGGGATGATGGTGGCCCTAGAGGTTCCTGCTCACGGCTGAGACATGAATGTCTAGAACTCCTGGGAGATCGTGGAAGAGAGGGGGGTGGGTATTAGCATTAGAGGGGATGATCTTGTTGGGGTGGGGAAAGCCTGTCACGTCTGTCATGGCAGGAATGTAGAGAACCCCACTCTCCAAGGGCCCCTCTTCCAAGCACGGCCCTAATGCAGGCGCTCTGGCATGGCGGTGGCAGCCAGCCTGCCCTCCTCTTCCCAGGCGGGTCCGCTCCTTTGCCCTGTTATTACCGCTGGCAGGTTCGTGTGTGCCTCTGGCAAAGGGGACACAAGTTCTACCAGTTCTCCTGGGTTCCTTCAGCGGCTCACCCGCCCGCTGCGCTGCGCTGCGTGTGGGGAGAGGGAGGCGCCGCCTGGGCCTGTTACCTGGAGTCCCCCTCAGAGGCGGGGGAGGCGAGAGGGGGCCGGCTGGGGCCGGCTGGACTGGATGGGCCTAGGTGGTGAGGACAGGATGAGTTCCTTAGCGAGATCACTACCTTGGAAAACTGGGACTGTGGGGAGGAGGTCAGGTACACGCGGAGGCGGATGCTGGGAGTTCCTGCCGGAGCTCCTATGCGTTTGGAACGTCCTGACCCACTCCTGGTCCCTTCGCCCTTCCTCCGGTTTAACAGGAATATTTAAGACAGCAGCGGCTGCGACATTCGACATTCGTGGGAACAGCACACCTGGCATTTCTGGGGCAGGAGCTAGACCCCCAGCCCTTGCTCCCCGCC